CTGCACGGAGCCGATGCCTTGGCCGATGCCAAACCTGGACAGCGCGATGGTCTGTCTGGTCGGACCGAACGTCTGCTTCACGTTGGACTGGACCAAGTGGTACTAGCAGTTGCCGCTGCTTGCGGACAGCCAGATGTACTTCTCGTTCATGACGCCCTTCGGCGTGTACACCCCGACCCGCGTGCTCATGGGACAGACGGACGCTGTCGCGTACTGCCAGTCCGTTGTCCACCAAATGTTTGGTGAGCTGCTGTTTCGAGGCCTGTTGGCCTGGCTCGATGACTTGCTGGGGTCCGCCAAGACGACGGACGAGCCGCTCGACTTGTTGGACCAAGTCCTTTCCATCTGTGCCCGGTTCGGACTCAAGTTGAGCCCGAAGAAGTGTCATTTCTTTCTGCGCGAGGCAGAATGATGTGGCAAGGTGATTTCGGCCGATGGAATCACCCACTCCCCAAGCCGAATTCTAGGACTTGTGGATTTGTCGCCCCCGACGACCGCGGTCGACCTCCAGCACTTTGTGTGTGCCACCAACTGGATGCGTACGACCATCCCCGGCTACAATCAGCTGGTGGGTCCGTTGCGACGTCTGCTCGACGTGGCCACCAAGGCAGCCGGAAGCTGCAAGAAAACGGCGTTAGTGCGTGTTGCACTCCCTGCCATGGGATGATCGTCCGATCATCTCAAGTGTTTCAACGAGGTGAAACACGCGTTGGCGCATGTGGTGCCCCTGTCGCACCCGCGAGAAGACATGACGGTCTGCGTCTTCACGGACGCCAGTGACCTGTTTTGGGTGCGGTCGCCACACAAGTACCGCCAGCGGACCTGGATTTGCCTCTCGAAGACCAGCGGCACCAGCCGTTTGCGTTCATCAGTGGGTCGTTTTCTGGCGCGAGTGCGCGCTGGCCCATCGTGGAGAAGGATGCCTATGCCGTGGTCGAGTCGTGCAAGAGACTCGACTACCTGGTCGTACACCCTGGTGGCTTCCGTCTGTTTACGGATCACCGTAACTTGGTGTACATTTTCAACCCAAGTGGCTCGAACGCCAACATGGCCAAGTACCAGGCCAACAAGCTACAGCGATGGCCGCTGGTGATGTCGACCTTCCCGTATACCATTGAGTGCGTCTCGGAGGACGCGAATGTATGGGGCGACCTCCTGAGCCGATGGGGTTCGGCTCCGACGGATCAACCAGTTGCGAATGTTCGCAAGTTGATCCATGTGGTGTCGCCTCTGCAACAAGGGGATTTCGAGTGGCTGACAGCTGCTACGATCAGCGGCATCCAACGTTCAACCATGGAAGGGGGAGGGACCTCCCCCAAACGGCGTGGATTGGGACGACGACTCCCATTTTTACGTGGACCCAGACGGCGAATCTGGATCCCAGACGGTGCTGTCGACCTACATCAGCGGATTTTGTGTGATCGTTCACCAAGGAGCCAGCGGTCACCGCCGCTGCGAGGCGCCGCCCGTCAGAAACATGTGACGGACCTCCAAGTGGCGCTTGAAGAAATGCACCGCAACGTGGCGGTGCGAAGCGACAAGTTGCGTCAGCAAGCGCATGGACGCCGCGACCGAAAGTCCCAAGTCAAGTTTGCGGGTTTTTCGGTCGGCGATTTTGTGCTTGTCGGATCGGTCGTCAACCGTCTGACAAAATTGGCCCTGCATTGGTGAGAACCCTGCCAAGTGACCAGAGTCATCACAGACCATGTGATGGAGACTCAGCAGCTGGTGCCACCGTATGAAGTCACAGTCCATCATGCGTGTCGATTGAAGATGTACCACGAAGGTGGTAGAGAGGTGACCGAAGACCTCGAGGCGCAGATCGCGTTTGGCGATGGCGGATTTCATGTGGAGCGCCTGGACGAAGCGCGCTGCGTAGATGGCCAACACCAAGTTTTTGTGAAGTGGCTTCGACTCGACGATGAAGAATCGTCCTGGGAACCTGCGGTGAATTTGCTGGACGACATTCCAGTCGTATATCGCAAGTGGGCGGCGGCGAACAAGGAAGACTCACCAGTGGCCGCCACGCCGTCCGCCGAAATCTCTTTCCCACACCATACTGTCCGGGTGGCGTAAAAAACACACTTCCCGGGGTGCAACTTCAGTCCGTACGCTTGGCAGATCTCAAGCACTTTATCCAGCAGGCACAACAACTCGTCCGTGGGCTGGGCATACCCCAACAAATCACCCAGCCATCCGAGCAGTCCGTACATCAGCAGGCCCCCGAACAAGTCATCGACCACCCATTGGCAATAGGCCACCGCATCGGTCTGGCCCATCAGGACTCGGGTCGGGGTCACAACCCTCATGGGAGTCATGAAGGAGTAGTACAGGTAACTGCATTGGAATTGAATCACAGTGGTACAACGACTGCATACAAATCATCATATAAAATGAAGGTGGATCAAATACAGGGTATTAAAAATATTTAATCAGATTGATTAAAATACGATACAGTATAGTATACAATAAACAGTCTCAGATTGGCCAATAAGTAACATATAGAGAACGCTGAAAACCATGTCGCATATTCGGCACAATCAAGCCTGCGCACAAAATCAACAGTTCCAACGGATTCAGAAGGGGGGTTTAGACCGGCAACCCTCCCAGCGAGAACACAGACACCAACGAATACCTGCATTACAATGGCCGTCAGAATGGTTAGCCACTTTTAACTTCGACGGAACTGTGAATAGCTTGATGTGATTGGGTCCAGTAGTTCGAACTACGCTTCAGTTTTCAACGAATCAGGACAGGTCGTCATATTTTTATTCATCTCAAGTGAGAATATTCCATTTTATTGCAGGTTATGGGATGATAGAGATTATCGTCATTGCAATTTCGACTTTGAATCAATGATTTGTGCAGGATATCAAGTCATGCGCCATACTTCAATAGGTTGCACGAGACGGGAATAACGATAGCATGGGATGGGGACAAAGATAGCGTTTGACGCCGTGGCGCAATGGTTTACTGGGACGGCATCAAAGTGATAGAGGAAGGGGCCCGGGTTCAAATACCGGGCAGTGTCAAACTTTTCCCCGAATAATTAAATTTCGATTTCCTAAAAAAAATTGAATACTAAAAACAAGATCACCATTTATCCCTTCGTCATCGTCGATACCGTCTGACAACTGTCCCATCCGCAGGGTACGGTGCATCGCTACTCCTGGAGTCGTGATCTGCTGATCCCTGAAATCCCATACGGCTTGCTGCCGACGTGCATTCTCCAGCAGCGTCTGCTCATTGTAGCCCAGCTTCTGCATCACGGGCAGGCCCAGCGTAAGCTCAACGGGTGCTACGGTCTCATAGACCCAGACCCGGAGCCCTCGCCACATCAGCGGCCCACACGTGGTCTTGAATTCCAGGCTGCCTAGGCGAACTTGTTTCGTCACAGTAATCACCTGGCTGTCCGCCCCGTACGGTCGGAGTTCCATCGGACCCATGACCGTCATCTCCGGGGATGCTCCCGCAGCTAACAGCGCAGAACCCATGCCTCCGGAGGTCACCGACAAATCAGCTCTTGAGTCCAGGAGTGATGCCTGCACGGGAAGGACACCGTCCACAATAGCCGGGAGCTCAGGCCGTTTCGCGCCCGGGACATCCGTTTTCACCGTCGCCACGCGGCCACCAGGTGCTCCCGGAGCTCCTTTCTCGCCGCTCCGACCACGCCCGAACGTACTTCCGTGTGCTCTTAGCAGTTGCTTGACCTCTTCGGGGGTGATCCCGGGACATTCCCGGACCCGATGGCTGGTCGACTTACACTTCAGACAACGGTTGTTCGGTGCACCGATAGCCGGTGCGTTCGGAACAGGTGTCAGGGGCTTCGCGTCTCCCCTCGGGACCCTGGGTCCTCCCAGGACCTTCGATCTGGGCGGCTTCAATTCTTCCTCGTAACCCACAAAGCGCTCGTGTCCGATCGCATATTCCCGCAACCAGCGCACAAACCGGTATATATCCTTCTTGAACGGCTTGTTTCAAGTTAACGCCATCTGATCGGTAACGGCATGGTGTAGCGACGCAGGCTTGACGGCGTCCGTGATGATCTTCACGATCGCCTGGCTGATAACCCACTCCTGGCGATCCCGACGGATAGCCGCAGCCAAACCATCCAGCATACGTCCGATCCGGGAATCCGCGTCCGGGACCAACATATCAAAAACAACAGCAGATTTAATCCGCCTCTTCAATGTGTCCAGGGCCCGGGGATCAACGTCGTAACCTTGCTTGAACCACGCAATCCATTCGCCCTCGGACACGTCATCGGGATCTTTTCCCATGTCCCATTCGGCAATAGTTGCTTCGTCGCAGGTTCGATACACGCCCTCGCGGGCATTATGAACGGTCGGACCCCGTTGGCAGTCAGTGCATTCGTCTGTCCGATATACAAGTAGTACTCGGCCATAAAAACGCGTCGTTCTTCCTTGGTAGATCCCTTGAACGTCGGGTTCTTCGGGAGGGTAGGGGCGTTGTGTAGGTGCACGTCGTTCTGTCCCATATCCACATCTTCCTTGTCCAGCGTAGGTCCGGGAGCCGTCCCAGATATACCGCCAAAACCGCAAACGTCGCCGATCTCCCGAAACTCCAGGCCTCATCAACCGCAGTCGCTAGCGTGTCTGTAGACAGCAAAATAATTCTTTGTTGTCTTGCGCCGGTGTTCGCAACCGACGACTACCGTGTTCACAACGGTGACCTCGATAACAAATCCAAAAGTAACTTCATTATCCAGTCAATCAGTCAGTTCCCTCCTTTCATTCACTACTCTCTACAATCATGCATCGCACAGTGTACCATCAGCTCGGAACATATGCCTCTCCAAATCCAGGACATATGTCACACTCTTCAAATGTCATGTGTGACCAACATTCGGCTACCCACACTCAGGCACGGGGAGTCGAACAGAGGCTCGGCCGATAACAGATCAAGGCAACCTCCGAGAGCGACCCAATTGGACTGAAATTATTTGGTCCGACGAGAAGAGATTTAATCTCGACGGTCCAGATGGTTTTGAGTACTATTGGCATGACCTTCGGAAGGAGCCTGAGTCATGTTTGACTCGCCAAAAAGGCGGAGACGGTATTATGGTGTGTGGTGCTATTTCCGGCTCCTGTGTGTCCGAGTTTGCGTTCCTGGAGGGCTCCCAAACGGCCGAGAAGTACGTCGACACTTTGGCGAACTACCTCTTTCCCTTCGGCCATGAATTTTACGGTGAACCATTCACGTTTATGCAAGATGGGCCTCCATATACCGTGAACATCGAACCATGGAGTTTTTGGCCGAACATAATGTTCAGCTTTTCGACCATCCAGCCTTATCACCGGACCTCAATCCCATAGAAAATGTTTGGGGTGTTCTTGGACGTGCAGTCTACGCAAATGGCCGGCAATTTACAACAAAAACCGAGCTTAAAGTGGCCATCAAGAGGTCGAATCTTGGTCGCCCTTACCTGTTGACACTTGCCAAGTCGATGCCAAATCGCTGTGTCGATGTTATTCTGGCTCAAGGAGCGAAGGTCGACTACTAGGTAGTGACTTTATGATAAATCATTTTGAGTTGTCATACAAAGCTGCTACTTTCTTGACGTGTCCCTTAATTGCTTGACTCGGGTCATAATCAAATTTTCGGATATACAAGAATATGCAATAAGGTTTGAGGATATGAGCCGCAATGAAGCGTATTGTTTCATATTCATCTGAATTGCACAAGCAGAGAACAAATACACATCGGTACAGATCGAAAATTAGAGGTGTCCCTAATTGGTTGGCGCGCACTGTATACCCACAGAATTGCCTCAAACGAGAAGTGGACATTCGAACTTATAGTGCGCCGGTGGAAGATTTACTGCCAGCGAGTGCGCGCAACAATGCAAATTGAAGAGTGAGCTCCAGCAATCAGAGCAACCGGATACACCTCTGTAAAATAGTGCATCAACCGTACATATATACAGGGAACTACGGAATCCAAGGACACATTTGGCTTCGAGTATAACTAGGGTATCGTCTTGTGATTGGCTTCCTTACTTCGAAGTACGTTTCCTTTCTGCCAATGACTGCAGTGCAAAGGAAATAGAATGGAACAGCGTCGTGGCGTTATTTAAATAATGGAGTCAATTAAATTATACAACCTTGAACGGTCCACCAAGCTGAAGTGGAATTTGGAATATCAACTTTTCTTCAGGTCATCAGATTATGTGTTTTGAAGTAGAAATAATAAATATAACGACGTCACTGGTACACAGAATCCAATAAGAGCGTAAGTGATAGCGCAGTGGTTAAGCGTGACGGCATCAAATGATCGATGAAGGGGCCCGGGGTTCAATTCCCGCAGTGTCAATCGTTTTCTAAATTTTCACAACAATAATATTCTTCACCGAAAACTTTACAAAAGCCAAGATATAAAATGTATATTCATTCAGAATTATACTAACTCTCATCATTCTTAATTCATTGGCGTACGAGCGATCCTTCGCAAAACTGGCTTGGACGACCTCAGCTAACACCAAATCCCACGCGGCAATAGCGCGCTTAATCATTGCCATCCTCTTCTGTTGGGCTGTTAGTGAGTATGTGTCTTTATCGTCCCCTTCGATCATTTCCTCAAACAGCCACAACTCCCGTAGGTGACGCTTGAAGGGAGCAATGACGCCGACGTCCAGTGGCTGGCAGACGGTGGTCGAATTCGGCGGCAACGGACACAGGTGAGAACCCAGCTCTTCGTTCACAATCTTGACTGACACATGCGACTCGAAGTTGTCGACTAGGACCACAGAACACTCCTCGATCTCATCGTGGAGCACTGAACGGAGGAACTGCTTCCACACCCGCGCGTCCATCCACGCATTCTCTTGTACAGCGTAGAAGTGTCCGGCTGGAAAGGTAGGGACTTCCTTTGACTCCATGCGACCGTCTGGCTGAACCTTCATGCTGAACATGATAGGAAGCTTCGTCCCATCGGCACGAGCAGTCAGGACAGCGGTCATGCGCATCGTCTCCTGTCATCAAGATAGCCGGGATTTGCAACGGACTCGGGATTCCTCAAATCAGTGAGGGGTGGTATAAAGGTTTTATCCAACGCCACCAGCTGATTTCTCAAAGTCAAGACCAAGTTATTTCAAGCGTCCGCAACGAAGTGGACATTAGCGGCATCAGAACGCTGTTCTGCACTATGGCCAAACTACTCATTGAAGATCTCTTGAATGGCCAACGTTTGTACTACATAGACCAAACTTGTTTTGCATCTCGAAATAGTCCACCAAAGTCCTCGCGCTCAAAGAGTCCGACAACGTGTGGGCCAAGATGATTTCGCCATCGTTTCATCTAACAATTGTCGCAGTGGCGAGTGCAACGGGTCCGACAACGTGTGGGCCAAGATGATTTCGCCATCGTTTCATCTAACGATTGTATGGTCAAATCTGGGGCGTTTACGATATCAACGACGAACGCTGTCAAACGCTGCCTGGAAGAAGTCACCAATTGGGACAAACGCCGGTGCCTGGTTTTGCTCTATGTGGCCAGTATCCCCCGTCGCTTGCTGCTATGCAAAAATGACTGATTATGTATTCGTGCGGCGGTCAGAAGTTGCCATGTGACGATGCTGTCTGACCCCAAAACAGTGGCGATTTGTTCAAGTACCCTCGCACTACCATTTCCTGCTTCATCTCAACGTCGAAGAAGCGGAAGTCGATTGACGTTGGCGGTCGTCTTATCACTCAAGATTTTTTCAACGAAATCATCGACGATCAACCTAACCGCAAGAAGACCAAGAAACCCACCAAGAAGTCGTCCAAGAAGAACCAGTTCGTGCCAACCAATTATATTGTGGTTTGAGAACATTTATCAACATTTTGGTATCACTTTTTGGAATACACTTGAATTATGTACATGTACATGTGTCTATGCCATCTTGGGAAAAAGTAGTATCATTTGTTGGTCTCGAAGTGCCGACGAATTGCAATGACCGGTAGGATGAAAATTGACAATATTATGGTCCGATTTCTTGGTACGACCTTTAAGTTAGCACTACTTCAGGAGATACCACGTAGTAGTAGTACTTACTGTTAGTGCCCCAAGTAACAGTTAGTCCAATATCTTCATGTCGAACTATTTGGTGAACTATCGCTCCATTTGAAATTTGTATGTGAGCCAGAATATTTCAGATTCTATTCCGACAAGATTCATCGAAATCAGTGGGAACTGGGAAATTTTATTCGTCAAATTTGTTTCGAACTGTTTTATACTAGTACAGTACGTCGAAGCATATTTTATCACCACATTAAAAAGAAGAAGAGAAATCATCTCCCAAATAGGGAGATTTCCGATCATTAAAAAGAAATAGAGAAATCATCTCCCAAATAGGGAGATTTCCGAGAAATTGAAAGCAAAGTAATTTTATATCGTCGATTTCGGAGAAAACAATTTTTCCCTATCCGTAGACTAACTAGATGGGGCCCAATTCGTAGACTTCGTGGATGATCGGCGAGGTCACGATGAAGTGGTCCCATGGGTCCTTTGTGGCTAGTAGAGACGGCAGAGGCATACGAAGCATTGAATGGATTGAAACTCATGTTTGTCAGTTCAGTTTTTTCTATCTGTAGGACGTTCGGAAAGGTGTGGCTGTGAAAGCAAGGAAGGAATGGCTTGATCTAAAGAAGCACGCCTCGGCAACTGGCACCAAATCAGCTGCTGAGGAGTGCTATTATAATAGTACTTATCTGGTGCATCTAAGATATCGTTGATCAGCCACTGGTACAACTCCCGCCGGATGTACTGCTAGGCGCGGCGTCGGACGCCGCCTACGTTGCTTTTCGTAGTTCATACAAGTCACTATGCATAAATATGGAGGTTTTCATGAACTTGTTCGCTCCCACCGCGCCTCTGACTGACCTCCACTTCATTTGGGCCATGCTCCACGTCCATCCTCCGCGCTTCATTCGAAGTACAGTACCAACAAAAAAGCGTTGCACGAAGGCAACAGATCTGACCAATCACGATCGATGATTCGAATCCCTGAAATGACTTTGCCAAGGTATACAAACTTCAAGCCTGACCCATTTGAGAGATTCTGTTTCCAAGTTCCGGAGTTTTCCTCAACTCAATAAAGCTTCAGAGGTTATTTTAAGGATAAAGATAAATACTCGTCTCCGAAATCTCCCTATTGATTGGTCAAAATGTCCAATATGATAGGTAGAAAAAGAAAATTGAAACAATCCATAGGCCAAAATCAGTGCATACAACGATTAATACTAAGCGAGGTCGGAAAAATGATCATTTTCATCGATTCATCGATAGTACCGGTTGGCTTCGGAGAAGTGGCCTTGGAGCGAGTTTACGAATATGCCGTTGGATGTGGTCGTGTGAAACAGGCGCGTGTTGGCTGTCTCTTCCACCACCTAATCAAACTCAAAGGTCAGGTTGACCCTCCATTCGTCTGGCTAAGCACTTGCCACTTCGAGGGTATTGTAGAAGGTTACCGCCTGCATGTGCTCTCGATCATGTGTCGGAAAATTTGCACCGTGCCTGGCCACGTGAACTGCGCCCTTTCAGAGCGCGTGAACGGGTCACCATCGTTCGACGTTTGCACGTCGATATCGAAAAAATCGTCGTCACAGCTCACGGCTGGAAGCAACGCTAACGGCTCGTGCATGTTGTGGTACATTTGCTGCGTGAGCCACTCCTTGCCGAGGTTTCGAGCCGTCGGGTTGGCCGCCAAAGTCGCATTCCGCCACGCATTGCTGCGGGGCATGGGCGGCTACATGCACGCACTGTGCTTTGATAGTCGCCCCGTCAGGTCAGTTTAAATCTTGCGGTGGTACTCGCGCTGCTTCTCTCGAAAGTATCGACGCCGAGAGAGAGTTTTGTCGTCAACTTCGCACGTGGAGGCGCCTCCGTTGGACGACATGCTTGCCTTGAGTTCTGCCGATGTGTACTGATGTTCAATGTGACCTTCGCGTGAAGGCATCTGGCGACTGTCAACAACGTTCTGTATTTATCGTGCACTAACGTTACTGTAAATACATCTTGGTTTGAAATTATTGGGTTATACATTTGGTGCACGTCACCTATAAACTACTAGTACCAACTTTCACAAGTATTTCTTGCTACTATGAGTATCTCGTTTTCATGTCTCGAAATTTTAGCAACAGAGATTTAGAATCGAGAGATCTACGGCTCAGGACATAAATTTTGGTGAAGAATTGGTCAAGAAAAAGATATTTAACCCAACGGTATTTTGCATGGGCGAATTGACAATTAGGGATGGTCACCATGAATATATATTGATCTTTGTATGAGACTAGTATCCGTACATTATATGGAGGTAAATTGACCTTTAACCTATCTCTAAAGTGATAAAACGCATGAAATTGGGTTTTAACTTATTTACCAGAAGTAGGTATTTGGGTTTACAGTGCTATTTACTATTAATACATTAAATATACGTTAAATAATAACCTCCAACACTGGAGGATATATTATTTAATAGGGCTAAATAATTCACATCAAGGTGTATCTATCTATACGGGTTTGTACGAGAGATATCAGAACGATTTTGCAAATACCTGAAGGAACTTACTCTTTCAACAGGCTCTTTGTCCGTATGACTCCCACTGTGTGAGAGTAGAGGCCTTTGACTAATCAATTAGTCAAATACTAGTACATGTATCCAGGGGTATCCAGGGTATCGGGATTAGGGTTATTTCAAAATATTATATTTGAGAGTACTCATATAAGCTTTCCTGTATAAACGTCAAAATTAATACTATTAAACGATATAGGTTATTTGTACATGTCATGTTTGCCTCATTTTCGGCATGTTTTGTGACATATCTCACAAGATATTCATTTCTACACCTGACATCCAAAGAACGTTTGAAATA